GTCTCCCCCACCCGTGGAAACTGAAAAGCTGGTGACCACCAACACCAACAATCCCCCAGCCAGAATGGCGGGTGGGGAATTCTGGGAGTTGAAGTCCACACATCTTCAAGTTGCCAAGGTTGAGAAGCACTGCTCTAAAAACAGGAAAGGCCACAGAGATTCAGGCTCCCTGCCCTTGTGTTACACTACCAGCCTTTTACATAGTCTCAATCCTTTTTCCAAACAAGGGGGCAATACCCTGGAACTCAACAGTGCAAACAGTGCCCTGTGCAAATAGTGAGTTACAATCCCCACCAGCATGCATAGGAAAGCCACAGCAATAAGGCTCTGTCCGGGTTAGGCAAAACTCAAGCACGGACCTTGCAGAACTGGGATGGCCTACCTGAGAAATAGTCCGTCAAGAGATTTTTGAGGAATCCTGAACAGGGAAAGAGACAGACAGGAAGAGAAGGAAAAAGGAAAGAATGAGGTGGGAGGTGACCGTAACCCAAGGTCAGAGGCGTGGAGCGTGAAAGTTGGGGAGAATGAGTTCTAGCAAGAGGCAATCAGAAAATGGGGCAATTGGAAAAGACATGCTTGGTTCATCTTGCTTCCATCAATGTCTCCGCCATCCCTTGGAGGAGAGAATCCAGGACATCCAAGGGATGCCAGGCTGAGTTAAGCGCTGGATCATCTGAATTAGTTGCCACTTGGCTGCCGATTCCAGGTCATTTCCGAAAGCACAAAGGCAAAAACGCATGGGTGAGACCTTGTGCCTTTTAAGGGGGGGGGGGGGAGCTCCTTCCCAAAACAAGCAAAATGGGGATAGGGCACAACCCAGATCATGGTTCCCAAACTAGCTTTTCTGTGATGCTCTCCACTGAAAAGTGAAGAAGAGAATACAGAGCACAAACAGGCCTGTTTTAAGATTGGATGAGCAGGGAAGGAAAGACACCAAGACCAAACTACATGAGTAGATGATGAAAATCTGTTCAATTTCCCATGCAGTTTAGGTCCCACTTGCCCCTAACCATATCCTGGGAGCATCTTTTGGGATGCTCTTTTTGAATGAAGAAACGTTGCCTTCATTCCTGGTTGGACAAGAAGATTGCCAAGGTATCTTCCAGCCCTTGAGTCTTCATTCTCAGCCCAGCCCACAAGCGAGACAGGTTTAAGTCATCCTTAACTGCTCTGGTATTAAAATAATATACTCCTCGTTATTCCCACACTGTCAAAGAAGAGCCTCAGGACATGGGAAACCAATTCGGCTTTGTCCCTGTTATCTTGGGGGGAATTCAAAGAACGGCCAGTGCCTGGGAACAGAGATAGTTAAGGCAAGAAAAGGATTGGCAACAGGATAGCCAAATTTATATCCATAGAGTTTTCTGCTGACTTAAGAAATGATGGAGAGCAATTCACCAGCAGTGGGGAAAAGCCACAAGTTCCATTTCTGGAATGGTGTCAGCAGTGGGATATCCAGTTCTCATATAGCTCTCTCAACTAGCTTTAAACCAGTTTGGTTTTGGGAGTTTAGTTCTAGTTTTGGGTTTTTAGTTTTTAGATGCAAAATTATTGCTTGGACACTGGGTTTTTTCCCCTCTTTTTCCCTGCTTTCTCCTCTTCTGCTGCAGCATGTACTTCTGCATTTAAAACTGACCGTTCTTTGGTCATATTTATAGTTAGGAAATGCTGGTTAGCTTTAACTCTGATGAACAGACAAGTCAAGATATGAAGCTACTCTGACTAAATTTGTCCACAGTAGTCATGTGGAGCCCCTCAGAGTCATTTTCCTGTGATGTCCTAATTTGGAACTTGGATTTATTACATAGGGAAAAAAAAGCAGGATTGTCAGTTTTAAACAAGGCCTTAAACCAACTTGGGGGCTTGTAATTTTGGCTTCTTTGAATGCAGTAAATGATGACCCTCAGTTCAATACTCATGCTAAGCTAACCCTGCCCAGTTTGCTTATCTAAACACAATAAGGATGGGTAGAAAACAATGCTTGTTACCTTGTGAGCTAATAAATCAGGATTTGGGGCTGATCATTACATGTGAGTGCAGGAATTCTGCATCTCATCAGGAATTCAGTTTTGTTTACAACAGAATAAGTTTTCCACTCTCTTTTTATGGCTATATCAGAGGCAGAGAATTCACTAATTTGATGTTAAGCTTTCCAAGACTACACTTAGGTGTAGTGGTTAAAGGCGCTGGACTAGAAACCAGGGGACTGTGAGTTCTAGTCCTCCCTTAAGCATGAAAGCTAGTTGGGTGACTTTGGGCCTGCCAGATCAACCCACCTCACAGGGTTGTTGTTGTGGGAAAAATAGGAGGCAGCAGCATTAGGTACGTAAGCTGGGATGGTGGGATAAAAATATAATCAATCAATCAATCAATCAAGACCACAATTCCCCCCATATATTTGCAGCCTCTCTGTTAGGCAACAGAAATTCACAGAAAGAGAAATTAACATGCAGCTGGAATCGAAATAGTCAAATCTAGGAAGGAAGTGCCAAAATTAGCAAGGGGGTTTGGAGATTCCCCTCCCTCGTGCTGCTGAAAATTAGTGGTGGTATTCAGAAAAAGAACACCTGTTCCACACGAAGAGCTTTCTGTTCCTACCCCAAAAAGAAAATTTTAAAGTATCTACAAGAGGGGAAAAAAAGATATAACAGGTGACTTTCAAACTGGAGATCCATAGATAGTACAGGAAAGAATCAGAAACCTACAGTTCCAGCTTGGCTTGATTTTTCATTTTATAAACTTCTGCAAGGGTGAAGTTCTGTGTAATTTACAGGTAGTCCTCGCTTAATGATCATTCACTCAGCATTACAACAGTGCTGAGTGAATGGTACTTACGCCCGGTCCTCGAAGTTACAGGCATTGGAGTGGCCATGTGGTCATGTGATCAAAATTCAGATGCTTGGCAGCCCAGCAGCTGCCTTGCGAAGGGCCAGGATGGGCACACCTGGTCAGCAGCAGGAGGAAGGCCAAGGTCAGCTGGGGGCAGCAGGGGCAGTGGTCCCCCAAAAGGCGGGGGGGATAGCGAGGGGGAGTTGAGGCGGAGGTGAGCACAACAGGGCAGGAGAAGCGTGAGAAGCCTAACAATGGCAACCGGGACTACCGGAACTGCCGTCACTAAGCAGTGCGGCTGTGATGTTTCACCTAACGACCACATCGCTTAGCAATGAAAATTCCGGCCCCAATTAGGGTCATTAAGTGAGGACTACCTGTAATTTAATTCCATTTGTACATCCATGGGAAGGGATTGCCCCCCGGTTGCTCAAAAATTCACCTGTTTCCTTGTTTGTTTCAAAGCACATTGTTCAGAGCTCCTCCTGGTATAAACCGTACATTTTAAGGTTTATTTCCCCTCTAACGTACTAATCTACATGCATGTATTTCCTACACAATATTGGTCCGTTCCCTGAGTTTCACTAGAGCAGCATTTCCCAACCTCGGCAATTTTCAGATGTGTGGACTTCAGCTCCCAGAATTCCCCAGCCAGCATAGCTGGCTGGGGAATTCTGGGAGTTGAAGTCCATACATCTGAAAGTTGCTGAGGTTGAGAAACACTGCATTAGAGAATGCAGACAAGTGCAAATTGCATGTTGAAATATGTCCATATTCACATACAGTCTCAGGAGGAGTAAATTGAGGAAGCGTAGATGAAAAGAATCAAAACTTTCCCCCATCACGAAGAAGGAGAGAGCCGCCACAAATAAACCCCTGAAGTACACAATTCAAAACGAGATCTCCCGCCACGCTTGCCGAAATTTGGACCTTCCAACAGCGGCTTAGGCCATTGTTCCTCAACCTCAGCAACTTTCAACTGGCTGGGGAATTCTGGGAGACGAAGTCCACACATCTGAAAGTTGAGAAACACTGGCCTAGGGCCCCCCAGAAAGCGGGGCCCCAAAATCATGCTTTTGGGACCCCACCCTCCTGACCAGCAGCAGGACAGGGGAAGGCCCTTTCCAGCAGCAAGGGGTCGCTTCCATTGGGGACCCCACTGGCAAGCCATGCCAGGGGTGCCTGTCCAGGCCAACCTCCTTCCCGGGGGGGCCCGGTGCAATGGGTCAGGGAGAAGGGAAAGGTCTGGAGAGGAAGGAAACCCCACCTGGAGGAGATGCTGCGTGGCCCGCCACGTCCTCTACCCAGCCACGTTTCAAGGCTTCGTCCGCCTCCTCGTCGCTGTCCGGAAAATCCTCCAGGTTGGCAACGTCAGAGGGCTTGAAGCTCATCAAGCTGGCCAAACTTTGCATGTCTTCATCCCTGGGGAGACAAGGGGGAGTCCTAAGAGTCAGGCCCACCACCATTTTTATTTCCATCCCCTCCCCCCCTTGGAAAAACCCAGTGTTTTTGGCCACATCTGGATTCGCCAAACATCCTAGACTGGGCTTACCACAGGATGGGATAAAATTGGGGTTGTTTTGAAGGTGTTTCGTTCAGTTCTAGCGTGGCTAATTTGGGGGGGCATTGCATGTTCTCTCTGGCGTGTTGAGGGAACGGCGCTGTGCTTGTTAACCCAGGTTTAGGGTGTTGTGTGAACACAGACTAACGCCAAGCTCACCCCCACAGGAAGTTTTCAGTCCTAGGTATTTCTCAGGCAGTGGGTGCCCATTCACTGAATAGAGATTTTTTTTGGAGATAATTATCTTGAAAAGGCTGCTCACACAAAGTCATAAAAACCGGGCTTAAAAAAGTCATCCAATCTTTCCCCTATCATGTTTACTTTAAGCAGCAGCATCAGGGCCTTTAGCAGAAAAAAAAACAGATTTTCCCCATCCCGTCTTCCCTGAATTTTCTAAGTGGAGAAGCCAGGACTCAAGCCAGCAGGCAGAGCAGACGCTCCTTCTCCAAAATGACAGCAAGGCTCTAGTCCTCATGGACCCAAACAGAAGGGCAGATCTGAACAAGAACACAGGAAGCTGGTTTAAATCCACTTATCCCGCTGGCTTGCGGATCTCAAATCCAGCTGTCTCCGGGATTTGAGATCAGGACTTTCCCAAGGCACCAGAAGGTGGGGATCAAACTGATGACCATTTCCATCCAGAGAGCTACATCACACACACACACGCACACACATGAGAATGCAGAATATAGGAGGTCCCAGGCTTCTAAGAAGGATTTTTCCCTGCCCTGTGACTCACGTGGCTTTTCCCTCGTGCAAGAAGACACACGAGAGCGTGAGCTGGAGGGAGGCAGCCACAACTTTCACCGACTTCGGCTTTAGCTTCAGCTTCAAATCCACCTGGGTGGGCGTCTGGCTGGCGAAGCGTTTGAGGTTCACGTCCACCGAGGCCAACACCTTCCGTTGCCCCTTAGACTCCTGGCACGAGAGTTCACCATTGCGACTATTTAGCTGAGAAATTTCTCTCCTGCCCCCCCGTTTTCATGTACCCGGGGCCGCCTTTCGAAAACAACACTGGAATATTCCTCCAAAGCACCAACATTTATAAAAAACAGAAACCACTCTGGCAAAGGCCCATTCAAAACCAAAATCGAGCCGGCGAAAGGGATGTTTAAATAGACTTTTTGAAGAATGGCTTAAAACTCATCAGCTCGCCCTGCAAAAGTCTTAATTAGGGGAAGTTGAGAAGAAGGGAGCAGATGATTTCCAGTGACAGGCAGCTTCACAGTTTAGAAGTGGCCTCTCATAGATTCCAACCATCCTTGCCTCAAACATATTGAGACAGAAAAGTTCGTATTTTAAGGGAAGTAGGCTCAATGGTAGAAAATGAAAAATGATTGATGCTTTCCATATTTCCTCCCAAACAATTTCCAACATGTACGCCACTCTCAACTTTCATATTTTGATGCCACCTTCCCCAAACAGGGAACTTCCAGAAAAGTTCAACTACAAAACCTATAATCCTCCCCACCTGGCACAGCCATCCAGGAAACCAGCTGACCCTTCCCCTTCTTACATACAAAAGCACCAATAAACTTTCTACATCAAAATGGCATTTACTCTTTACTCGGATCAGCTTTTGCACGGGACAGACTGCAACTAAGATTTTGGAAATGGTAAACTTCAGGCTGGTCATTTTTGTGGTATCTGTATGTAACATACCACTTTGGGTATTTTATGGCTGACTTGCCTCTTGTCACTAAGAGTTGACACTGGTTTGATGGCACATAATCGTCAGAAAGAGACTAACTTGGAAAAGGGAAATCTAAGTTGTAAAGAAAAAACTTTTAAAAAGTTTTTTTTCCAGCAACCAAAGCATAATATCTAATCAAAGGTTATGAAAGACTCCTTGTCCTACTTTTTTTTCAAATGTTGGCCATTTCAGGCACGTTTCCACAAAAGGATTTCCCCACCCCATTTTGGCGCAAGATCTGGAGATGAATCTTCCAGTGCTGTATTTGGGCTCAACCAAAATCAAAACCAAGATTTGAAACGCACATTTTCCACCACAAAGGTCCAATCTTTGTCTTCATATTCCTCCACGTGGGGGTCCTGAAAGACAAACAAGAGTGGGGAGTCACCTGGGGGGGGGTCTTCAGCATGAAAAACACAGAGTCTCTTTTGCCTAAGAGACCTTGCATTAGCTATAAGGCACATATGTTATATATATATATCATTAGCTATAAGGCACGTATAATTATTATTAGCTATAAGGCACATATATTATATCAGGAATTAAACAAATTGCCTTCTTGCCCTTCCAAATCAGTTCTATTTGCTTTGACGGGCTACAGCAGTGTTTCTAAACTTTAAAATAGTTGGCCTTCAACCCCAAGAATTCCCCAGCCAGCATGGCTGGCTGGGGAATTCTGGGAGTTGAAGTCCACCTATCTTAAAGTTGCCAAGGTCAAGAAACATTGGGTATAGTCTTCCCAGATTGCTGACAATGAAGACAGCTACAGCTACTAAGAGCCAAATATAAGCCTTTCTATGTGCAAAGGGGAGAAGCCCCACCTCATCAACCGTAACTGCAATTCTGTGCAATTACCAACTCAGCACGGCACGTGGTGCTAAAATTTTGTTCCTTCCTGCACACCTTGGACCTCAAACAAAACACAAGCCATTTCCAAAAGTCACTTTCTCCTATTCTAGCTCAAACGTTGGGAAGCAAACCCACGGCTTTTTCCCATCACATGTCGTCGGTTCTGGGTATCTAGAGCTCCTAGCAAAGCATGGATCAAGAATCAGACCAGCGAGGCAGGAATCCTCTTCTTGAATCTGCTGGTGGGATCCTCTCTCTGAGACCGGACGGTCAGACGATGAGGTTCCGTACCCTATAAAGCGTGACCATGATATCCACGTTCTCTGGCACCATCCATACCACCTCGCCCCGATAAGGATTCTTGATGCCCGGCTGCCAGCTGTGAGCCTGCCAATGACCAAAACAAGGAGCTTAAAATGTTAGCCCCCCAACACCAAAAAGGCAATTTCTACCTGGGCTCACATCCAACTTTAGCCTTCAAGCAGAGCTGGACTCTGCAAGGCTTAAGGCACTCCTTTCAGCTCCCAAAACAAAACCTTGATATTTGGGGCCTCTCCTATTCTAGCTTGGGAGACAGAAATTGGATTCTGGAGGGAGTTTGGGCTCCTCCTGCTGATAAGGAAATATGACCCCATCCTGGCTCGGGAAGTCACCTTGGAGCAGATCCGCCGGCTCCTCCGAGTCCAGACCACGATTAACTTGTCGGGCTGCCTGTGGTTGGGAGAGAGAAAACAGTCAGTCACAAGAACTAAACCGAGAGCGACCAAGCCGCTAGTCCACAAGGTTTTACTGGTAGCTGGGGTTGCAATTAACACACAGGGAACAGCTAAGTGCTGTATAACCAATGGGGAGTTCCAGCGGGTTTGTAGCGGGATTTCTCTCTCTCTTTCTCTCTCTCACAAACACACTAACACACACACAGTGTGTGTGTTTTGGGGAAATTTTACAGCTTCTTCTAGAACAGTATTTTTCAACCTTGGCAACTTTAAGATGGGTGGACTTCAACTCCCAGAATTCCTCAGCCAGCCATGCTGGCTGGGGGAATCTGGGGGTTGAAGGCCACCCATCCTAAAATTTTCAAGGGTGAAAAATAATGTTCTTGAAGAAGCTGTAAAATTTCCCCAAAACACACACACTGTGTGTGTGTTAGTGTGTTTGTGAGAGAGAGAAAGAGAGAGAGAAATCCCGCTACAAACCCGCTGGAACTCCCAATTGGTTATACAGCACTTAGCTGTTCCCTGTGTGTTAATTGCAACCCCAGCTACCAGTA